CATTAATTAATTAATTAATTAATTAATTCCTTCATTCATTCATTTGCATACCACTGAATCCTATAGACCTCCCAACTGTTGACAATGCTGTACAGCTAAAATATGTCAATGATAAATACCAAAATATTAAAATATGCACTATAATAGCTTGCTAAAATAAAATATCCACTGTATGAAAAAAACAAAATTGAAAATTGGGTGTGACTGTTCAACCAGTTCCAAATCCCCTGGACCACAGTACCAGGTTGACCACATTTAGCCTTCGTGTCTATAAGGATATCATGAGATCCTTAAATGCTTTACTGAGAAACTAGTCCCTCTGATTGGTCTGACATGACTTGTTCTTCATCAATGCGTCTCCCAGTACTTCTGCTTGACACACCAGATCTACAGTAGCAGAGGGGGCATGCTCTGGGTCCCCTCTATTAAACAATGTCATCTTGTTGGACCCAGGAGTCATGCCTTCTCTGTGGCAGCGCCTGTCTTGTGGAGCAGCATCCCCCTGCAGATTCAGATAGCCCTGACCCTATTGGTCTTTCGTAAGGCTCTGAAGACCTGGCTGTTTCTCCAGGCATTCAGATCAGGAATTAGGCTGGACCTGTTGATGTGTTGTAAATGACTGGAAGGTGTCATTTACCCAGGGCACAATGGATTATTGTTTTTAATTGTTGGGTTTTAATTTTTGCATGCTGCCAGGAATCACTGTTGTGAGATGAGCAGCCATATACAATATTTAATAAATAAATACATGAATCATTCTTGGTGGTTATAGCATTGTTTTCTAAGTGCACACAGACATGCTGCTTGCCAAACTGTTCTAGAATTTTACCCGGTGCATACACAGGCTCATAGAATCATACAGCTGGAAGAGGCTCAGGGCAGGAATATAAATTAAAGTATCCCAGGCAAAGGACTGTCTAGCCACTGATTGAACATACCCCATGAAGGGGAATTTACCATCTCTCTGCATCATTGGTTCCATTGTCAAACTACTGTCACTAGTAAGAAGTTTTTCCTAACATACAATCAGAATCTGTCTTCCATTATTCTGTATTCTGCATTCTGGAACATGTCTTGACTTCCTTCTATGCAATATCTTTCCAGGAATTTAAAGAGTGCTAGAAATGCCTTCTCAATTGTCTCTTCTCAAAGCTAGATATAAGCAGCTCCTTCAATTTGCCTTCAAAGGACTTAGTTTTTAGTCCTCTAATTATCCTTATTGACCTTCTCTGAACTTGTTCTAGTTTCTCTTTAAAGTCGGGTGCCCAGAACTGTACACATTTGAGGTAGGGTCCGACCAAAGCAAAATAAAGCAGAACGAAGACTTCCTGTGATTTGGAAATTTTATTTCAGCATCCATTTTATTTCTATGAACATTAAATTAAGTTCTGTCTGTAGTTTCCCAGGTCCTCCCTAACACTAATCATTTTTTAATATTGGGACTAGGAGTTTAAAAGCCATTGTCCACATCTTCTGTCTGCGTAGGTGGCCTGTAGTAGATGCCTGCAGAGGTATCACTTTTTACTCTTTAATCTTATCCAGATGTTTTCAATAGGATTTCCATATTCAGAGACATGAATTTTTTTACATGCATATGTCCTCATGCTGTGAAAACATATATTTCTTCATTCACATTTACATTTATGTCAAAATGGTGGCCTCCAGATGTTGATTTAGCCTTGATCATTCCTGACCATTGGCTCTGCTGGTGCTGGGCTCCTACCGTGCCTGTGGGTTTCTGGCTGGCCATTTTGGGAACGAATGTTGGATTAGGTAGACGTTCCCTGTTTTACAAAAAGCACAGCTCTACTTGTTCCTACTATACTTCCAGGTGAAAACATTTTCTTAATAAACCAATGTCTTTTTTAAAAAATTGATTAAATTATGTAACTTTTTGTATTTTACTATTACAAAACCTGCAGTTTTCTTATTTTTGCCAGTAACTTTTGGGGAAAGGGGAGTTATGTAAGTTAAATAAATGTTTTCTGCTGTACACAATCCCAAAATGAAAGTCAGTATAAAAAACTACTTCTAAATAAAAAGTACATTGCCAAGCAAGCTGCTGAAATGACTACTGATAGACTCACTTTGGCTGCACTGATGACTGTGGCTGTGTAGGACTGAATGTTATCGCCACAAGCTCCACCCCGGGACTGATGGCACCGAATCAGCTGCAAGAAGAAAGTATCCCTGTTACATCAAGTCAACAACACAGTAGACCCCTTGGGAAGCCCTTTGTGGGCCTGGGGTTCTCCTTTCATCCGTCCTGCCATCCCTTTACCTCCCCACCCCAACCCTTCTTTTTATACAGACTGACAAAAATCTCAAACCTTGAGATGCTGCAACCTGTTTATTATTTTTAAAATGCCCTTTGGGGTATTACCCAGACTGTCATAAGATGAGTAGCCCCTCACTAATTGTAAAAGCAAGGAGTTTGGAGAGGCTGACAGAGAGAAAAGAGGAGGGGTTGCCAGCCCTCTTACGTACTGAACCGTATGTAATCAGATGCCCCCGATCTGACAGCCCCCAAATGTGTGGAAATACAATTCCCATTAGCCTGAGCAAGCATGGAAGCATGGACACTTGCACTGGAAGGAGCTGCAGCCTAATTCCAGCACATCTGAAGGACAACAGGCAGGGGAAAACTGCCATAGCTTGAAGAGAGGGGAGCTAATGGAAAAAAGAGGCGTGAGTCACCAAGCATTTAAAAGACACAACAGAGAAGATGTTGCATGTTACCCTAGAAGCTTATGTTGGAGTTTCTAGGTTTTTCTTCTCTGTATACTAGATTATAATGACACTAGATACTCAAGGAGAATCATGCCTCTATAATTATCATCTTAACAAAATGAGTGTTTTTATATCACACCAAGTGTGTGTGTGTGTGTGTGTGTGTGTGTTTAGGGAAGTCTTGTTTACTGCTGCATTCTCTCCCCCAACCAGGTCGTCCTGGGCAAACAAGAAGCCCATGCCAGCAAATGAGCATACAGCAAAAGGAGAAAGGAAAGCAACAGGAACAGATATTTCCCTCTCTCCTTTACCAGTTCAAGCAGCTAGTAATTGCTTTGTGGACTAGTGATTCAAACCCACTTCTGTGAAGCCTTTCCTTCCCATTAGGGGGATTCCATCCTGGTTTTCAGAGGCCCCCTGAAGCACTGGAACTTCAGATTACACAGCCCTGATGTACAGCTATGAAAATGAACTACTCATAACAAAAACATCAAAAGAACTATTTGGAAGTCAACCATTCTCACAAATGTTCCTTTTTTACCTCACCCGTGTGTGTGTGTGTGTGTGTGTGTGTGTGT